GAGATTCTAAAATTCTGAAATTCTGAGATTCTGAAATTTTGAGATTCTGAAAATCTGAGAATCTGAGATTCTGAGATTCTGAAATTCTGAGATTCTGAGATTCTGAGATTCTGAGATTCTGAGATTCTGAGATTCTGAGATTCTGAGATTCTGAGATTCTGAGATTCTGAGATTCTGAGATTCTGAGATTCTGAGATTCTGAGATTCTGAGATTCTGAGATTCTGAGATTCTGAGATTCTGAAATTCTGAGATTCTGAGATTCTAAAATTCGGAAATTCTGAGATTCTGAAATTCTGAGATTCTAAGATTCTGAAATTCTGAGATTCTGAGATTCTGAAATTCTGAGATTCTGAGATTCTGAGATTCTGAGATTCTGAGATTCTGAGATTCTGAGAAAAAAAGAATATCTGATTTAAAAATAGCTAGATTCAAAAAAATTGCATTTCAAAAGAAAACTTTCGATTTAAAAAAAAAGAAAACTAAAGTAAATATTTTCAGGTTCCGCGAGCAATACGACGAACATCATTCCATGAAAAATGTTGTACATTTGACAATCCAAGTGTGTTGAAAGAGAATAAAGATGAGTATCTTCATCTGAAGGGTACTCATTATCAGGTAACTATCTTTTTTTTTATTTCCAAAAAACTCTGAAATGTTTTTTTACAGAGCTGGAAATATTTCTCTCAAATGCGCAACGAGTTGCTCGGTTTCCTGAAAACACCAGTCAACAACTTTTTCTACCTTCCAGTTTCCAGTGAATCCACTTTTGTGTGAGTTTTTTTTAAATTAAAAAAAATGTTTTGAAAAAACGAATAAGTGACCATAAAACACGGAAACAGATCATCTTGATTTTAGGGGTTTTCCTTTAAAAACAACATACAGCGACGCAATAAAAATCGCTTGAAAAAAAAGACGAATCATTGTCAAAAATATCTGATTTTGAACACGTTCAATGGGAAAAGCATATGGAAAAGACATTAAAATGGAACGAAATGATCTAGACCAATGTTGATGGCTTCCACTTCGGGCGTTCGAAAATCGCCGACCGCCGACCGACTGAACACCGACTCAGCCGACGGACAGCCGTCCGAGTTGACCGATTACGCGTTTTTCCGATCCAAAATGACTATATTTGCGTACGAAGCACTTTACTTTACGACAAACGAGACATTTAGTGAGTAGTTTGTCGTAAAATACAATGCTGCGTGTGCAAACACGTTGACGCGCAAATGCACGAAAACGGTCGGTCGGTCAGGGGCCGTCCGATCGGTCAGCTTGGTCGGCTGTCGGTCGGCTCGGTCGGTGGTCGGTCGGTCGGCTAAATTACCAGACCGAAAGGAAGCCTTATTTCAGAAAAGTGTATTTTTATAAATTTTACCCTTGTTCAGAACATGCGTACATATTCGACGAGGAGATTTTCTCCGGGTCGGTTTTCACGTGGCAGGGGAACACTTTATTAAAAGTTCCATGGATTTCGTGCAAAATCAAGGTAATTATTTGAATTTTTGAAACTTCAATCTCTATGAAACCCTGAAACTTCATTTCAGAAGGCCGTAGTCGAAAACACATGGCTACCGTATTCTTCGGAGACGATTTCAGTTTTATGGATTCATTGAGAAATAGAACAGTATATAATACTCAAGACGCCTTCGTTTCCCAAAATTCGCCATCCGACGACTTGTTGTACTCGAAGGCGAATTGTGATGTGGTCATTATTACAGGTTGGTGCTTCTTTTTTTTTTGGAATTTGAATTTCCCGCCAGATCATTTTCAAAAAATAGATTTTTCAGCCGCCCACTCAACATTTGGCTGGTGGATGGGATACCTATCCAAAGGAAACACTGTGTATTATACTGATATCAAGTACACAAAAGATTATATTTTGGAAACCGGAGAATTCACATCCGAAGATTACTATCCGCCGCACTGGACACCTCTGAAATATGCTGGTTCTAACAATTTGACAGTCACTCGAAGCTTTAATTGAAACTTGTGTTTTTTTTATAATTTGAAATTATTTGATAATGAATTTTTAAAAATGATTTTTCAATGCTTTTCAAAGATTAATTCCTGGAACATTCGCTAAACAGTTCATTACTTTATTCGGAACATTTACCATAAAACAAAAATCGGTCAACTGCTAAAATGTTTGTGATTTTATGATCAATCATTTATCAATTGACATTTTTTCATATCTGCAAAAAGAACCAAGATGAATTGGCTCAACATTTTTTTAATTGGAGGCTACTTCTATTACAGGTTTAACGGTATACAAAACAAGATTTTCAAACGGAAAAAGTCAAAACTGTTTGAGATTCCCAGAAACAAAATTTCAAAAAATTTTAGTCACCTTCGAAAACTACTACCAAAACCAGTTTTTTCCTCCAATTGACCAATATGTTCCATTTGTTCCACTTTTGAAATTTATCTGAAATTTCATCTCTGAGAATTCCGTCTAAAAACCGGACCCTGTTTTTTGAACATACTTTGATCTAGGGAAAATCGAACAAAGCTATGTACAAAAATTATTTGGACTGCGAATTGGAGTGCAAACCGGGTTCGATTCGAGGTTCCAAGTACATAGAGTGAATCTGCCGGAACAAGGAGAAACGGGAGATTTGAAAATGAAAATTAGATAAAGATGAAGTTCCTGCTTTTTGAAAAAAGAAAACTGTGGAATAAAATTTTTAAAAATCGGGAGAACAAAGGTTGAAAATGTACATTCTGGGCAAAGTTATGTAAAAAGGATTTTCTACGGAAATTTCAAATCCTCACTTTATCAAAGTACAGTAACCGACTGACTTGTCCCATTCGTCGCTACCAAATTCTTCTGATATCTTGAAAAATTTCTACCATGGATAGTAGTACGTGTCAATTATGTAAGCATCAGTGTTCGTGGCGAGTCTCCCAATAGTAAAACAGGCAATTTGTTGTGTCGTAAAGTTGTTTCAAGTTCCCCAAAGATCTTTTTTTATTCCAGATTTCCAGAAGTTGTGAATGTCGACAAAACTGCTTGAATTTCCGCTAACAACGCTGTATCTATTTCCAACCGATGCATCTTGCCTTTCTCTCCGTTTCATTTCTTTTTATCTCTGTATTCAATCTCTTAAAAATCCGCCTGTCCATACCCGATTCCTGGATTGATTTTCTACAAACTTCCTGAATTTTACACTAATGAAAATTAAACGAAAGGTAGCATTATATTTTTTGATTTTGAGTACGGTAATCTATTAGTTCTAGTTTCAGGAGTGGAAATTTCTGTTGACCATTGTCTTCATTTTCATTGCCATTTTCATTATCCTCCCTCCAATTATCGGATCCAATGATCAATTCATATCATGGTACCAAACTTTCCGGCATAAATTGACGATTTTATTTTTGGGAGACCCCGCTACAAGCACTGATGCTTATATCATTAACACTTATTACTATCCAAGGTCCAAGTCTCTCGGAGAGAATGCAATAGCAATGGTTTTACTGTTGGATAGGAATACTGTAAGAGATATAACAAGATATCAGATGAAATTGGTAGCTACGAATGGGTCAAATCAGTCGATTACTGTACATCCAACTTTGATAAAGTGAGGATGAGATATTGGTTTTTTGAACAATATTGTTTACAGGGAACAACTCAATGAAGCATGCCGATTAGTGAACGTTGTTGCTACTACTAATGTTTTACCTGAAATGAAGAAATTGGAGATTTTCGATGGGAATACTAAAGTTGAGGTGAGCGGTGATACGACAGGAAAAATGATCAGCGTAAAACCTATGATAGAAGGGTTCGCACACTATCAAGTTTGCGCTCAATTGCTTCAGGTTATGCGAGAGATATCAAAAATTTCTCTATTGATAAAATGTTAGTACTATCATGATGAGCAGTTTTTCAGTTGACAACTTTTTGATATCTTTGACAGGAGCAAAAAATTTTTCTCAAACTTGACAGTGTGGGGGAAGAGAGTGTTTCTATTCTATATGGTATCAGAGCGGCGTTTCTGATATTATTATCAAATTCACAGAAAACCATTTTTTGGTTTCCCACCTTAAAATATAATTTCAGATCCCTTTCAAACTCCCTCGTCAATCCGCACCCACTCCAGTTATCATCTGTATTTCTCCGCAATTTATCGCTGAGCAATGGCAACTTTTTGTCACTCACGCCCACGTAGCTCGAAGATTCGGTGGACACCTGCACATCTACATCACCAGTATGCTGGATTCCTTCTTCGAATTGGCACAAGAATATGAGCGTCTGGGATATGCCACAATTGATTTTTGGATGAAATTGAAGTTTAAGAATCCTTCTTCGGAGAACTCATTAGAACCGAACTCGGAATCTGAGCTTAGAAATCAAGCTGGAGCGCAAACAGATTGCCTGCTACAGTATAAGGAAGCTGCTGAGTTTATTACATTTTTCGACATCGATGATATCCTATTCCCACGTGGATATGATTCCTATTATGATGAGTTTTCTGCACTTCATCTGGAAAATCCAGGCATTCTAACCTTTCATTACAATAAAAGAGAAATGCTGGTCCATAACAAAGCGAATATTCGGGATTTCGACTTTTCGGAACTTTTCGGTCATACATGGTTTGTAAATGAGCAAGACTATGGAAAAGTGATGACTAAACCGACAAGTATCAATTCGATGTGGATTCATGAATCCTTTAATTTCTCCTACAAACGGAAGCTATTCTTGAGGTCAAATTGGTTGATTCATATACAAAAACCTGTTGATACAGATGGAAAGGATATTATTCCATATAGAATGAGCCATTTTGAGCAAATGCCAGAGATGAAGTTGAATGATTCGGTGCTCGTGGAGATACAAAAGGATTTTGAGAGGTTTGTGGCAAGTTTCAGAGCATTCAAACTTTAAGGATTTTCAGACTACTCAACACATCATCGATTCTCAAAATCGCTGGCAATCTACCAACGAAATCCTATTATTTCCCAATTATCTATCGTTGCTACTATGAGAAATTCTATAAAAAATTCCAAACAGAATGTCCGAATGGGGAAGGATGTTTGGTAAGATAATTTTAAAACCTGGAAAGTCTCAAAATCAAAAAGTTTGGGTTTTCAGATTCCCCAAAGATCGGACATGAACTGTTTCCATTCTGAAGCTGATTACAAATCTGGGCCTAAAATGATGCCAATCACTTATCATTTTCATGAGAATTCGCGTTGGGTCAAAACTGTCGGGTGTCATAATTGACGTGTTTTTTTGTTGAAAAGTTAATTGTAATGTTTTTTTTAACCTGTACATTTTTTGATAATTTTTTTTAAATCTTGAAATTCAACGTATTTCTGATCTAGGAAATAGAGAACCCTAAAAATAAAGGAACCTGAAAAAAGAGAACCAAATTACGGGACCGTAGGAAATTGCTGAAAGGGATTACAATTAGAAAATAGTATCTGAAATTTCATTTACCGTAAAACCTGTATTAGAAGGGCCGGCCCTTCTATTTTTCGTGGAGCCCCTAGGGGGGCACTTTAATTAGAGGGGCCCTTCAGTTAGAGGGGGCACTTGTATTTTTCGTGGGGTCGTTGAGAATGGAATTTCTATTGGAGTGACATCATATTTCAGTGAATATTTTGTTTTTCTACTCAGAATCCGTTAAAATTTCTTTATAAAAAAACACAATTTCTCATATTGTCAAATAAAAAAAAACTGGCACCTGAGAGTTTTGCGGGCGCCGTTCGTACCGATTTACGAGGTCCCGCCCTTAAATCCCATACTGTATTAAACAAATTTTTTCTTTCAATGTAGTCCGCTTTTCTGCATAAAATTCAGGTTTCTTGGTATCATTTTGATCGGTGGAATTACTAGAATTTTTTCAAATTGTAAACTCCCAGCGAAAATCGAACGAACGAGACAAAAATCAGTGATATAGCGACGGCATTCAAATTCTCATTGTCAGGTGCCAGTTTTTTCTTTAATTTTACAATTATTCAATCAAAACAACAGAAAAAACGGCCGAAAATCAAAGGAGATAGTCAAAGAGGCACTTCAATTAGAGGGGGGTACTTCAAATAGAGGGGCCCTTCAAATAGAGGGAGCACTTCTATTTTTCGTGAGGACACTTCATTTAAAGGGGCCTTTCAATTTCAGGGGCCCTTTTAGGTTTTACGGTATTTTTATTTACAGAAAACAGGGAAAGTTCACTTAGAAGTCGGCGCTTTCATTCCACTATTGTTCTTGCCCTCGTTGAACGGAATCAGTTCAGACATGGCGCGATGAAAGTACACGGCCTCGTCCCGAAATCTGGAATTATTTTGACGTAAAATTTCAGATATTCAAAAATTCAAAAAAATTCAAAAACTCACTTGAGAACGCACTCCGCGTGTTTCGATTTCTGATCGAAAATAGACGTTTGAATGAAATCGGTTATTTTCTGACGACAATCGTTTCTCCATTTTTGAGCATTCGCCGTGGCTTGTTCTGATTGTTCCGTTCGTTCCTTGTTCTGCACTGTGATCGCGTCCTCGTAACCTTCCAGTGACTCCCAGTATACTGAAATATACTGAACCAGTCAATCAAATATACAAAAACGTATTGATTTTGATCACTTTCAGAAGTCTGGTACTTTGAAGTGCTCTGAAAATTTTGAAGGGTGTAAAACAGACCTAGATTGAAAACTTTGCATTCACATACCTGAAAAACTGGAGACTTTCAAAACATTCTGTGAATGAAACGTTTTCATTCTTGGTCTGTTTTAGACTCTCAAAACTTTTCAAAAGGATAGGACACTTGACAGCTGAGCTCTAGACTCCTGAAAATGGTCAGAATGGCGGAAAATCTTTTTAAAAAATTACGTTCTTTTTGACCTATATTGTATATTAAACAAGAACACGAGTGTCTACAGTACCTTTCCTAAGTCTTGCGTACTCCCAATAATCCTCTCCAATGAACTTTGTCAATGGTCTCAGAATCTCGACCATCTTCTTGATCCTCTTCTCCTGTTCCACATCCAACGCCATCAACGTCTTCATCACTGGCTCCATACTTTCATACTTTGTCTTATCCCTTCCCCTTTTCATCAAATTCTCATAAGTCATCAGGTACTGTCCAGCGTATTTGTATTTTGGATCGGTTTTAAACACAGAAACCAGTTGCTTCGAAATGTCTGGATCCTCAACAAGCCAGTAGAGAATCGATTGGTGAAGATTGTCGGACGCAGATTTGTAGGCTTCCACTGCTTTGCACATCTTCATGACCTCATCCGATATCTTGAACTTTCGACTCTTTCGTTTTAAAATCGATGCGATGATGCCATGATTTGGATGATCCTGAAGCTCTTTTTTTTCAGAAAAATAAATACATTTCAAAACTGACGGCTAATCCATAGAAACCAGATTGTGGCGCCGCACACTCTTCCGTGCTTTTTGTACTCTTTGTACTCTCTTTAGCGGCCATCAAAAATATAGAAATAGGCGGAAAATCAATAATTGATCATTTTGAATTGTGGAGAGGTTATGGGGACAAATGATGACAAATACGAAAATTGGGGGCTCGGGGTTTTTCGTGATAATTTTTTTTTTCAGAAAACACATATTCACGTCATTTGATCTAATTAAAATTGGAACTTTGAGTCCAAGGCAACGGGCCAGAAATCGCGCCCTAGTAAACGTGAGATTTTGGGAAAAATTCGCTGCTGAATTATTTGGTAGAGGATCAAACTTCTAAACGTTGGCACGTGGGTTCAGGCGAGGGGGGTCAGAAAGCTCGCCCCAGCTAACTCGTAGGCCAGCCGAAATTAACTAATTCAAAATGACACGTGGATTTCACGTGGTGGGAAAAATGGGGAAATGGAATGGGGAAAAAACGAGAAAAAACGAGAAAAAAAGAGCGAAAACGAACGAAAACATCGAAAAATATTGAAAAAATAAACG